ATGTGGTGCTCATTCACCTCATGGAAGTAAAGCAGCAGGACTGTGAAGCCACAGGGAGACATATTCTGCTAGGCTACATAACCCTGTCACATCCCTTTAACAACCCGCTTCCATCAAACCAAACTGAAACCGAACCGGGTGAGAAATGGTCTGGATTACCTGATTTGTCAGATAAAACCACAGAGGATCTGAGGAAGGTTGGGGTAGCTGGATGTGCTAAGGTCTCGATGAAGATGGACAGGATGGAGATCTTTAAATAACAGGAAAATCTCACTTGGTGCATCTGTTTTTAGAACAATTTAGGAATAACTTCACAACATTCAGCAATGGCCTACAACAACAATGTTAGCTAAAACTAAACTGAGGATCAACAAAATCAAACATGAACAATTTATACTCTATATACTCTTTCACAAGGTTGAGCAAAATTCAGAATTGTAGAATTGGCTTCCTTTAAATTCATGAGTGTGCATTTGAATTGAATTGGGCACATCCCACAGGAAGTGACATGTTTTCAATAGAGAGCCTAAGTCCCTCCCCTTCCTGTCGACCACCATGGGACCTTATTTCGGGAAAATATTCGAGAGACAACAAATATTTTGATCTGGTTTGAATTATGCCCTGAATTACACATATGATGTTTGTCAATTTAAAATATACATTTTAAAGTAACAAAAGTCGCAGTTTGATGTAAAACCGTTGAGGTATCCACAAGTTTCCTACGCCCCATGAGGCCTTGCGTCAAAAGTGAGCGCGACTTCCGGTTGGAAGTAAACAAAGCACGATTTGACATGCTTGACACTCGTTCATTCAACAGTTGACAGTCATTCAAGTTATAGCGATCCAAACTAGCTAACGATGTGGGAACACAACCTCAACGAAATTAAAAAAGGTGAATACCTTTACCCTCCGCAGTAGTTGATTGGGAGTATTATAATAACATTATTAATAATCAATACTCATCAAGGCATGGTGACAGACAGTTGTGCGAGCTGACAAACAATTAAAATAAAAAATACACACTTAGTCATTGTGCTTTGGAGTTTATTCAAAATTATAAATGAATGTGCTACTTGAATACATTAACTGGCACATTTGGTATTCTGTCAACACAGGCTTTGATCCTGAGTTTAGGTGTAACATCAGTAGCGAACAGCCAAACACATGCTGATAAAAGTTTATAGAATATTAAGAATTTAAACAAATGTACACAGGAAGATTCGTCGTCTTTTGGGAGGTTGATGGAAACTACAGTCGTTGGCAGGAACACTCTGATTTTGTTTTCAGCTTATGTTCAAAACAATCACGTTTAAGCCACTGAACTAGTTTAGTCCGGTTATACATACAACCGCGAACAGCACATGTTGTCCCTGAGCTCTGTAACGACATCTCTCATAAAGATTTGCGTCTTTAAATAGTAAAATAATTCTCCGAAAAACAGCTAGCCTCTTCGCTAACTAACACACAAAATACCATTGGAATGCTACTTCCGCCGCGTCATCGGAAGTTTCACCCACTTTATTTTTTACAGGAGCGCCCCTCGGAAACTTGTGGATAAGACTGTGAAAATACGTAATTACAAAGACTACAAACCCCAAAGGCGCACATTTTCTCTCAATGAATGAAGCTAACTTTACTGAGGCTAACATCTGTCATTGTTTCTATAGTCTTATGTTATAATCGTAACGTTACGCCGTCACGTCTGAGTGTTTTGTACCACATGAGCAGCGGATCTCACTCGTTGTTTCGCTTCGCGAGAGATGTAGTTCATAGAGCGATTTTCACATAAAAACTAAATGTTACTCTTCTGTTTTATGACAAACTGCGACGTTTTTGACTTTCAGAATTATCTTTTAAGTTGACAAACATCATATGTGTAATTGAGGGCACAGTTCAGACAGAATAAAAAGATAAGTTGTCTCTCGCCATTGACTACCATTCATATTTTTTCCGAAATAAGGTCCCATGAGCCGGAAGCGGAGGGGCGGGACTTAGGCTCTCTATTGCAATAGTTTGTTTTCATATGACGTCACGCCACTGCGTTGCGTCGTGTACCAAACGTTGTTGTTCATAAGTTGTTTTGTTGTTTTGGTTTTAAAATCCGATATGCCGATATATCGGCCGATATTTTTTATTTTTTTTCGAAATGTGCAGCAAAACATAAACAGATTTCCTTAACATAAGTTTTAACTAAAATATTATGATAATGCATTTTAAAAAGAAACTTGTTTCTTTTATTGTCACAACAGAACAGACTGATGATAGTGGCGTTAGCTAGCTTTGTGGTTAGCTAGTCTATGATGAGCCATAATTTAGCAATGGATAACGTCATACTACAAAGTGTAAAACATACATTTTCAATACAACAGGCCGAGGAGAGATGATACGTCTCATTGCTATAACGGTCACGCGCTATTAAAGAAATGCTTCAGTCATATTGTCAAAAGTTAAAAGGACAGTCAGTCAACCACACTGTAACAACGTAACGTAATTAGCTAATTCCGCTTCACTCTCGGCTTATTTAACAGCACCAAAACTGGACATGATAGTCACAAATTCTGTCATGCTTATTTGAGTTCAGAGAACTGATGGGGATGTTCTTTTAATTGTTATTTAAACAATGTATGTCTCGTCACCAACTCAACGAGTGTTGCCAACAGGGACGGTGTAGAGCGCCCTCTGGTGGACAAACTATACAACTCCAACACTCGTGACATGGTTCAAGCGTGTTTCGTCCGTTTTTTTTTTTTTTTTTGAAATATTCATTTATCAGTCGTTATAACTGCCGATACCGATAGTTTGGGAAAATGCCTGATATCGGCCGATAATATCGGCATGCCGATATATCGGTCTGGCTCTAATTCAAACCTTCAAACTTTAAGGCATTAACCATTTTCAAAACTTTCAATCATGGCTTTGAAAAGCAAATGTTACTGGTTAAACCTACTTCGTTACATTCAAATTTAAATTGGAATTCTGTATCCTGTTTTCTACCTCAATTCAAACTTTGGAATTTAACGGCATTCTTAGTTGAATTCTGAACGGTGCACAACCATGCTCTTCATTTTACTTTCCATGCATATCAAGACTGCAGAAGGAGGGCTGGAGTTGATGATCCAGGGGTGGAGAGGCCCCTCTTTTGGCCCCTGTCTCACCCCAATGGCCTCTTCTCCACTCCCCATACACTGACATCTGCCAGATGGGTCTGCACAGCTGTGGCGGAGCAGGTCACCAGCCGGGCCAAAGGTCTGATCTCGCTGTGGCCTGGAAGGAATCTCTATACAGAAACCTGCCGACATACCCAAAGCCAAACCAGTGGGAACCTCTGCGAAACCAGTTGAAGGTTGCATTCTTGCCAAGTGTTTATTAGAACACTTGAAGAAGTCTCTGCCAATGCAGCTGGCATAGCTTGGCATGTACGAGTGGTGGAATGTCTCGTGCCAACACCTCTCTGAATTAGGGTTTCGGGGGCGCCCTTTATTGTCAGTCCAATGGGAGGTCAAAGTGTGAGCTGCACTTTTCTGAGTAAATCTACATGAGTACTCCACCAGACTGACTCTGTTAACAGTTGAACGTCAATGGAAAAACCCCATTTGGAGGAGGACAAGAACATTCACAATAGAGAAATGGCACAATCCCCCCTAAACACTGGACCAAGCGCCGAACTACATTGAAGACTTATGGCTGTTGTTTAAACCAGAGTCCCTTTCTTACGGTGACCTTTTTGGAAGATTCAGTTTGAGTTGACCTTTGGAGATTTTCAAAGTGTTCCAGAATTAGATTATGAGGAAAAATTGCATTAACAAATTATATCCATGACTCGAATACCTCAGCTTTTCACATGATATCCCTTTAGCCCTATTATGTGAGAGAGGGGGAGATGTGTCCTTTTGGTTATTCTGCCTCTATCTCTTGTCATTTACATCAGTTACCATAAATAACACCAAGCAAGCACCCACAGGGATTCTTGCGGGCCAAGAAATGCACAATTGACCTACAAATATGGCTCATTCTTTGCCATAACACGCTGGAACAGAAGACGCCTGTCTTTGACAACCATGTGGCTTTTCATTGACCAATTAGAGGTGTTTTTCACACTCGCTGCTAATATGGATCTACCAGTGACGATAATGAACATAAGACCAACTCGGGACTTTCCCCTTTCACCCGTTAGAAATCCCCAAGACGCCACTATGGTTTGCAATGCTTTTCAGAGCTTAGCAGACATAAACCTACAATCAATGCAAATCGGTCCCCTAAACACATCATGTGTGAAATACTGCAAGAAAACAGGCACAGCAAAAATCTCCCAAGGGTGTGGAAGCAACCATTTAGACACATACGTCTTCTTTCTTGAACGCTAAGAGACGGACAAAGACATGTGTTGAATCAGTTAACATGCGTTCTGGTGAGGAACCTGAGGATAGATTGTGGAGATCTAGAGAGTTTGGAGAAACCTAGACCCCCCGACCCCCACCTTGCCGAGTCTTTTACAAGCGCTTGATTGATTAATGTTGTTGTCAGGGAACAGAGTCCCCAGAGTAAACCAGAGGGATCCTTTCTGATATGTAGAGGGATTTACAAGTAGCGGCCAGCTTTCAAGTGCTGGGAAGCGATCGCCGGCCAAGGGAAGAGATGAGAAATCCATCAGGAATGCATTTAGTCTGTTCCTCTTTCTTCCCTTCTCTCTTTCCCCAATCCCTCTTTTTGTCTCCCACTAGTTGGGAGTGCAGCTGCTGCTATAATTCTACTGTATTTGCTTTGCGATGATGTTACATAAAACTACAGGGTTCACAAACGACTCGGGGGTGAAAGTAATAGGGCTTCAGCTGACATCTGACCATGAGTGATGTACTCCCCGAGGTCAAACAATTAGTCTCTGCAGAATAAATAAATATGACAAACACCGGCAATAAACAGAGGCATGCGGATGACGAGAGAACAAACGACTTTGACAAATGTGATGGTACTCAAACCCCGTGCAAGTGGGCGTATCTCACCTGTACACGAGCCTCGGTCAGTTTGGTCCTCTGTGCGAGCTCCTCTCGGGTGTAGATGTCGGGGTAGTGTGTCCTCTCGAAGGCCTTCTCGAGCTCCTCCAGCTGCTCCGCCGTGAAGGTGGTACGGCTGCGTCTTTGTTTCCGCTTCAGGGGCAGGTCCGGCTCCGACTCTATATCTGAACCCTCGTCCGTACGATTACCTGTGTGCACAGTTTGGAAATAAGTCTTTGAGTGGCTTTATAGGTGCTGTTCGGTCATTTTTGACCGAAAAATTTTCTGTTTTGAATTATTAAAAATCACAGCTTTATTGGAATGTTACGAAACTTGGTGACTTTTATGGCATTGGGTATGTGAACACACAAAAAAATTGAGGTCATGATCCGAGCATGCTAAGTGGTCGTAAAAAAATAGTCACACTTGTGCTCTTCGGTCAAAAATGACCGACCCATAGGAAATGAATGGGAAATTGACAAAAACACAAAAACTTTGAGAATTTTTGTGTGTACAATCTACAAATCGGCCATGATGCAGAAAAAAGTGCTCAGCATTGAAGGGGTGACACTCTAAAATATCAAGAGTGCAAAACAGACATACACCCACACATACACACACACTTTTATACACAAAAACACCAATAAATTGTGATTAAAGAAATCTGTTTTGAATATTTAAAAATCACAGCTTCTTCAGAAAATTACGAAACTTGGTGACTTTTATGGCATTGGGTATGTGAACACACAAAAAAATTGAGGTCACGATTCGAGAAATTTAAGTGGTCGTAAAAAAATGAGTCACACTTTTGCTCTTCTGTCAAAAATGACCGGCCCATAGGAAATGAATGGGAAGTTGACAAAAAAAATTCTCTGAATCTACATAATCGGCCACAATTCTAAAAAAAAAAAAGTACACCGCAGTAAAGGGGTGACACTCTACTACAACATCTAGAGTGCAAAACAGACACACACACACACATACAAACACACGTTTATACACACCAATAAATTTTGATTACAAAAAGTATGTTTTGAATTTTTAAAAATCACAGCTTCATCACGATGTTACGAAACTTGGTGACTTTTATGGCATTATGTATGTGAACACACAAAAAATGAGGTCATGATCTGAGCAGGCTAAGTGGTCGTAAAAAAATAGTAGTCACACTTGTGGTCTTTGGTCAAAAATGACCCCCATAGGAAATGAATGGGAAATTGACAAAAAAAGAAAAGAAAAATTTTCGTCAATTTTTTTATAAGAAATAGTTTTTGAGATAGTTTCAACTATACATTCAAATCCACCACCAACAACAACAAAAACATGTGTTCATAAACATCTGGGGAATTCACATGCCTCTCCATAGAGAGCTGTACATGCCATCTAGTGGTTACACCATGATTCTACGCTTTTTCTCTATACTGTAACCAGATGGTGCTAATTTTCTTCAAAAAAATATTTTTTTCTGAAGGCCTAGACTCTATATTAAACTAAAATACTGCATTAATATTTTTTTGAAAAAAATAATATATATATATTTGTCCATGGCAAAAATAAACAATAAATATTGTATAAATATTAATAAATTCAATTAAATTGTCTCAAAATACTAAATTAAAAAGAATAAATATTATAGAACAAAAATAAATTGCATTGGTTTTAATGGGATGGAGAAAGTTTCATTTTTAGGTGTCCGGTCACTTTTGACCGGGAAGATAACAAGTGTGACTCTGAAACGAAGAGCACCTGAGGGTTAAAAAAAATTTGATGCAAACCGTCAGCTGTCATCTTTAAGCGGGAGTAGAGCGGCACGCTGCACGTCAACGGAAAACGAGCGGCTATCACGACGATATTAATGCTTCCGTTATCTCCACGTGTCAATGGAGCGCTAGATACCGTTTTATTGGGTCTTATTCATATGTGAGAAGTCTTCAGACACATAATCCTGCCACTGAGCCCTGGAGAGGCCTGGGGGACGTAACTGTGAGGGTTAGGGTAATCTACACCAGACACCTTGCTCTAGCACGTCCGCCTCATTCTCTCTTCAGCGGCCTGGGGCTAACTCCTAAGAGCAAGTGTTTGAAAATAAGAATGTATGAGACTTCTGGGCCATTGAAGCCCTCCCTTTGTGTTTCGAGCTAGTGTTCGAAATATATTACAACATATTTTACATTACTTTTTTTTTCAGGCACGCAGTCAAAGACAAGTGCAGATCGCAGTTGGCAGTTTGCATTTTAGCCAGAGGAGTATTTCCCCGGCACAAAGACGAACACTACCACGACCGAGCCAAGAGGAGCGTTTGTAAGGGGAGATATGGAGTGTGTTAAGATATATTACTGAAAAACATTACCATGATAATTGATTCTAAAATTGCATCATACTTTATTTGTGAGCCACCTCTGTATATCTATTCACGGCAGCAGAAAGCTCGTGAAAGGTCCTGTCAGAAAAATCACACTTCTACATTTGCTTTCTTAAAACGCATGAGTGCTAACAAGAGTCTTGCTCCAGGCCCTGTGGTCTTGCATCATCCACGGGGGAAAGACAGAAAAGAAGGGCTTCGAGCTCCTTCCCCCGCAACGCCGCAGCTGCCACGACGGAGACAAATCTCCTTTGAGCCATCGTGCGCGCTCTCTGCCCACTGCTGATCAGCAGGTTCCTGCACCCTGGACCACTTCACGCGACTTTTCCTGCATCTCCGTTTCCTTCTGCCAGACCAGAGCCTGATCATCTCTCCCAAACCCCCATCTGCCAGGCCTCTTCTATGGCTGATAGGCTGCCAGGAAAAGAGGCTACAAAAAGGCCTGTGGGAGTGCGAAAGTGTGTGCATATTAGTATGTGCATGGGCGTGCGAGTGTGTCCGTGCGTATCGGCGAATGCATTCCTCTCGGTGTTGGGTGCACTTGAAGCTGACAACAACCACCTAATGCAATGCAACCATAACAATAAACTGCAGGCGTACAAGTGGTTTGGTGGCGTATCCATGCATGCATTCTTCTTGGTGCATGTCAGTTTAGGTGAACTAAATCGTTGCACAGTAGAAGAAAACTCTGCACACACAAGAATGATAGTGCATACTATTTCTGGTTTACGTGGATGCACATGGAAATAATAAATATAAAAGACCAAACAATATAAGGTTTTGTGCACTTGAAACTGACAATAGAGGAAAAACAACCACCTAACGCAATGCAACCATAACAATAAACTGCAGGCGTACAAGTGGTTTGGTGGCGTATCCATGCATGCATTCTTCTTGGTGCGTGTCAGTTTAGTTGCACAATAGAAGAAGCTAAATTTAAAGTTCTCAATAAAACTGCACACACAAGAATGATAGTGCATACTTGTGTATCAAGAAACGCATTATTTCTGGTACACATGGATGCACATGGAAATAATAAATGCAAAAGCCTCTAAGTGCCATTTGAAATTTTCTTCTAAAATTATAATTTTTATCAAGCTTGTATATTTAAGTTCAGCAATTTCACTTAAATGGCAATGAAGATTACCTATTAATTGTCATTTAAGTGAAATTACTGAACTTAAATACACAAGCTTGATAAAAATGGTCATTCTAGAACAAAATTTCAAATGGCATTTAAAAGGGTTTTGCATCTGAACTCTTCAAATATAAAAGACCAAACAATTTTGTGTATTTATGTACTCGTGCACTCTTATCTGTGCATGTGCAAGTGTTGGGTACACTTGAAACTGACTATAGAGGAAAAACAACCACCTAACGCAATGCAACCATAACAATAAACTTCAGGCGTACAAGTGATTTGGTGCATGCTTGCGTAGCGTATCCATGCATGCATTCTTCTTGGTGCGTGTCAGTTTAGTTGCACAATAGAAGAAGCTAAATTTACAGAATGATAGTGCATACTATTTCTGGTACATGTGGATGCACATGGAAATAATAAATAGAAAAGACCAAACAATCTACACTCTAAAAATGCTGGGTTGTTTTAACCCAACTTTTGGGTCAAATATGGACAAACCCAAACGTTGGGGTAAAAATGTAATTAAAAAATTAAACCCAATGGTTGGGTTTGTCCATATTTGGCAAAGGTACAAAAGCTGTCACTGGGGCGGTACCTTTTCAAAAGGTACACTTTAAAGGGTGCATATTGGTACATGAAGGTACAAAAGTGTACCGCCCCAGTGACAGCTTTTGTACCATTTTTTCTGAGAGTGCATTGTAGGGTTTTGTGTATTTACTCATGCATTCTTCTTGGCGCATGTGCAAGTGTACGGTGCAACGACATCAACAACAGAAGGAAAAAAACGCAACCGCTTCAATCAAGACGAACCAAACTCCTGCATTCTCCAGACCGGCTCTGGAGTTTAATTAAACAAGGAATTAGCGGATTATATGGAGACTATCATTACAGACCACTCGAGCAGTCTTCACAGAATGTCTTTTTGTCTCCCCAAGCTCTGGCTCAATGATTCTCAATGGATTACATGCGACCGCAGGACATGAGTCCGCATTCATTAAATCAATTCCTCCATCTTCCCCCATTTAATAAAGATTGATTTTTTTTTTTTTACCAACACTGCCTGGCACTCCAGCACACGAAAAAAAAAAAAATCTTGAATATACAAAGTTGAATATGTACATATCCTGGATATCCCTTTGTTGGTTTTCATGAGGATGCGCCAGAGCGATTTGTCGCTAACACACCATGACAACACTTGAGACTGGCGCAGTGGTCTACGGATCACTTTCCAAAGTCACCTCGGCATCCTGAGGGGGAGGGAGAGACGTGCCGCTGTGATTTTTGTTTCATTGCACAGTTTCGCCACATGATTCAAGAGGCAAGATTCTGTCCTCACGCCACAAGACTTTTTGCTTTAACTTACAAACATACTGTAACCGTATCCAATCCCACCGCACGTCGTTTGTTCGAAACACGTGTAATCAAGGGGCAAAACTCAGGTTGTCGTTGCCGTCTCACAAGCTCCAGCTCAGCCGCGTTGCGAGCCCAAGACTGAAGGTCAACAGGCCCCCTGACAACAGCAAAGGATTATGGTAATGAAACAGATGCTGGCAGAGATAGAGCAGTGAGAGGGGCACGATACAGGCCCGAAGTGATCCACTGATTGGGATGCTAGCTTTAATCAAAGGAACAGAAGCCCCAAATGGGTTCAGATAGGTTATGGCAGTCATGTAATGTTACAAGCATATGGTCTCTGCTAGCTGCCA